CGGGCCCGTTTCCCGGTTTTGTATAATAAACCATCAGCTGTGTTGTTTAAAAAAAAAAAAAAAGAAAAAAAAACGAAACAGATGACGACAGACCTGTATGCAAAATCCCAAAAAAAAAAAAAAAAAAAATGCAAAGCTTTGCTTTAAAACACCAGCAGTACACCCACGCCTGGAGGCACTGCACAGCACATCGAACTTTTCAGAATCGCCAGCATCACACTTCCTTTTTGGCTGGCACCGCCAGCCATTGTGATCGGGCAGACCCATTTTTCTGCAACGCGGGGGGCCATGTACGGGCAGTTTTTTCTGCAACGCGGAGGCCATGTACGGGGGCATGTACGGGCAGTTTAAGCCATTGGTACTTCTGAGGCGCTTTTCTCCAGGGCTGAAAACGCACTGCTCGCCAATAAAAATGTGTGGGGGCGCCCACCCAGTTTGCTCCGGCGGACGAGTCCCGAACATTGCAGCAGCATGCAAGCTGCAACTTCAAAAAATGTGTGGGAAATGTACTGCTGGCTTAGCAGCCATGAGGTGGCCTAGCTCAGTCGGTTAGGCATGCAAGTGGCATGCCGGAGGTCGAGGGCTCAATCCCCACTGACTGCCCGGGCGCGCTTGGTGTCAACCAACTGAGATAGTTGGCTTCCTCCCCCCAGTCAGTACCGGTAGGGTCTTTGGCCACCGTGGGCGTGTGTTTGTGGGTGTGTGGGTGAGTGCTGGCCATGGACACCGCCGTTGCTTGGTGGGGGTGAGGGAAGTTAAAAAAAAAAAAAAAAAAAAAAAAAAAAAAAAAAAAAAAAAAAAAAAAAAAAAAGATGGGAGGATCAGCCACTGGCAGATTGCTTGGTCTTTGTGTGCTGGGTTCATGCTGAGTGTGAGTCGAGTGGATTCATGCTGTGTGCAAGTCAATGATTCCTTCTTCCTTCTTCACGAGGGAACATTTCCACGACAAGTGCCGTGCTATTCAGCCTGAGAAAACAGAGAAAAGGTTGCCCTGAAGATGCCTTAAACCAGCAGAACACGCCATACATCGGCCGCTGGCACACCTTTTGGTGGCCGAAACGCAACGCCGCCCGCCTACGTTTTTTTTTTCGACAGGTCGCTGGCCCCGAACTTTTCGGACCAGGTGACATGTTTCATCTACTAAGGCTGCGGCCGTGCACTGGCGGTTTAAACGTTTAAACTTTGAACCATGAGTGCATACACTAAGTAGTGCTCCTACCTGTATATTCCGTGAAGAAAGGTTATGGCACTATTGGCAGTGAGGCTTGGCAAAGAGTTTACACCTCCCGCTACAGGGTATATCTTCAAATTTGAAAACATTTTTTTTCTTCTTTTTTCTTTTCTTTCTTTTTCTTTTTCTTTTTCTTTTTCTTTTTTTTTTTTGGGGGGGGGGGAGAGGTTAAAACCGAAAACGTTTTCAACCACTGCTCCAGGGTTCGAAAAATGCACCAGTTTGTTGACAGTGATTACAAGGCGTCGGGGCATCATTCAGATCCAGATCCAGACCGCAGGCCGGTGAAAGGAAGAAGCTATGGCTATGGGCGAAGTTTCCTTTTTGGGGGGTAAAGGCCAGGAAAGGGATAATCCGAGACTCCGATTACCAAAAACAACCCACCGCCACCTTTTTCACCACTACAGCCGGGGGAAGGAACAGAGGGAGGTTGGGGGGGGGGGGGGGGGGGGGTCAAGCGAGGGGAAGGTCAGAATGTCATTGAAAAACCTGTGGGCAAGTGAATTGTGGAAAAACCAACCACCATAGCTCCCTATGCCAAATTTCTGACATGAACGTGACTGAAATAACAGCCAGATTCCAGTGCAAGACTCCGTGCAGTAGTATGTCACTCCCAGGTCCACATCCGTACTAGACAACTGCATCCACAAAGTGAGAGAGGAAATAAAGATAAAAGGGAGAATGGTGAGGTGGCAAATTTTAATTTAATTCTATTGGGGACGTCACGTGAGACCCGCTGTTCCCTTTATAAAGAGTATGAACTTTTATCTATACTCTTTATAAAGGGAACAGCGGGTCTCACGTGACGTTCCCGCGAGCCCGAGCTCCGTGTGTTGGGAAACAGTGAGGGACAAGGCACGGGTTTCCCATTTGCGCGCAGCGCTTTCTTTTCTTTCTCGCCTGTGGGAATTCAAGGCCACTTCCATTCGCGCCGTTCAAATACAAGTTCATTCACGCTGTTCGAATACAAGTTCATAGCTGCCCTTCTCGGCGTGGGAGTTAAAGGCCGAGGCGGCGCTTTGTTTCCATTCGCGCTGTTCAAATACAAGTTCATTGCAGCCTTTTTCAGCTTGTTCGAGGCCATAGCTGCGCGTTTTAGCGTGTTCGGATTCAATGCACAAAAGACAAAAGATATGGAGACTTACCTGCTCTCTCCCCCTCTCTCTCTCTCTCTCACACACACACACACACACACACAAAAAAAAAAAAAAATAGAAGTAAAAATGGCAGTGTATATTTCCATGTTCTGCTGAAGATTCATTCCGATTTTGCTCATCCCACACATACACACACACCAACATATGGATAGAAAACTCTCTCTCTCTCTCTCTCTGACAGCTCCTCACTCCGGGATTTCTTTTCAGTGTATCTGTCCGTCGCGGTGTATCTTCCTATGTTCTTGCCGAAGATTCCTTCTCATTTTGCACATTGGCAGGCTGCTCAGTTGATGCACACATGAAACTGTTGAATTGCAGACGTGAGTTCGAATCCAGCGGTGACCACAATAAAATAGTTCTGATTTGCAAAGGATCCGACGCCATGCTGATACCTTGGCCGATACCCCCCAGAATGCTGTGCGTCCCTCATGTTCTAAAGCAAACACCCTCAATGACGCCCGGACCAGATAATGGCTGTGCCTCGGGGTGTGCCTGCCACTTCGCCACGGCGGGTTCACTTTTTCTTTTTGATTTCTTTTAGCGACTAAAATTTGACCGCACCGCATTCAGAAAAGCGAGAGAGGCCTTTGTCACCACAACTCCAGTAAAAGCACAACCCGCCGTCTTGGTGACTGTATCAGACTGGAAAGATTCATGCCGCCGTCGTCCCGCAATTCCATCCAGCTGTTCCATGTTTGTCTTTTGCAATAAATCGCAGTATCCCAGGGGGACCGTACACTAACTGTGTTTGCTGTATCCTTGGTTTGGGCGTTGCGGGATTTGACCCCATGAACTGTAGTGTGTTTGTGGTGTTTTGATTGTTTTTGAGGTTTATTGCGCTTGCACCTTCCTCTCGCTAGTAGTCTCTACTTCGTAGTCTTCCCGTCGCTAGTAGTCTCTACTTCGTAGTCTTAGGCCTTTCAGCCTTGTTGTTTTGTCCTTTTCTGCCCTTTTGGAAACTGGTAGGCCCGTAGGTCTTTTTATTGTGTGTGCTAGCCTTGGGTTCCATTAGTCTAGGCTTCCATCTAGATGCATGCGTGCAGGTAGGTCTTGACAGTTTGGGCGTAGATGTTTGTGGTTTGGACGGTCAGATAGGGCTGTAAGTGGCTGCTGTGTTGGACGTCTAGGGATTTCGGGTAGAAGTAGGCAGACGCCGACGAATTTGGGGTTCTTTCAGTTCTTTTCCATTTTTTTCTCTTTTCATGTTGGTCTGGTGAGGTCGAGTCTCGAGAGCTGCGCTATCTTCAGCAGCGTAGTGGCACATCTTCTTCATGTTGCTGGCGGCCATAGCTGAGGCCAGCCATCTCCAGTGTTGACACGTGGTGGTGGCCATAGCTGGGACCGGCCAGCTCCAGTGTTGACGGCTAATGGCGCTTCCTCCTACTGGTGTGTCTGTTGGGGTTGAAACAGCTTCCATCGAAGCAGCTTCTGCACATCTTCTTCGGAGTGGCAGTCCATCTTCATCGAGTTGTTCTTCTTCATCATCCTGGGAGATGCGCTCCCCTCCTGAACAAATAATAATCTGCAGATGGGCTTCGTGAGTGGTGCTGAGTGACGTGTTGGTCTCAGGAGGGTGCGTGGTGTTTGCAGGCTTGTCTGGAAGTGGCGCCATGGCTAGAGTTCGAGGAAGAGGGGGGAAGAAGACTCCTGGGTGTTTCCATGAAACTTCGTATATAATTGATCAGCCGGTGTTGATCATGTGGTTGGGATCGAACTGAAGAGAGAGAGAGACGAGATAGTAAAAAATACTAAAAATTGAATTAAAATTATTAAATAAATTCAATTCTATTCATGGTTTATAGTGCTTCCGCTGTGTAATATCACCACCTGGTTCGGTGTGAATTTCTCTCTTCAAGTCTACTTGCCTCCCGCATGTGTATGGGAACGTATGAACGGCATGCTGGATTTCGTTCTCAACCAGGCACATAACAATTTCATGGTACCACGAGTCCATTTCCCAGCCATCATCTGCCACAGAGGTTGTTGATGTGCCCGCGCGTTGGGGCTGTCCAACCCGCAGATTAACAGCCCAATGGGAAATGGCTGGTGTTATTCTTCGCAATTTTGCACCCTGAGCGTTTCCTTTCTCGGCAAGCAGCAAAAGACTGCATTGGAAAAAGAAATCGTAGGTGTTGGATATAAAGCTAGTAGTACTAATCCACAGAGCTCCATACTTATCTTGAAATTAGGATTTAGTCATGATATGAAACTTCAGGCTAAATGCATCCCATATGGACTTGGGATGTAAATCCTCCCACTGCTTTCTCTCAGTCCTCTAGGCTTATTACCCCTCCCCTCCCCTCCCCTCCCCCCCCCCCCCCCCCCCCCCCCCCCCCCCCCCCCCCCCCCCTTCATGCCCCACCCCCCTCTGCATCCCATTGGCATAGTGTACCCTCCTTAACTGGCAGTTGCACGTTTTGACGTCCTGGCAGTTGCTATTTGAGACAAAAAAATCACGTTTTCCCTTTTTGGTAAAGGTTTATTGCAATGCTGCTGAACCAATCTGGCACTTCTGCATGACCATGTACATCGTGGAATTAATCCATACTTGCAACCGCACGAACCGCACATTCGTGCGGAGTTCCGTAAGGAGTTCCATGCGGGGGGTGCCT